TGTCTTTTTACTTATACTATAAGAAGATCAGAAAAATAGTCATCACTTCTACTTTTATATTTTTTTTGCAAAGATAGCTTATGTTTTCCTTTATGTCACTCCTCTCCGAGGAACTTTTGTTTTGCTTGTGTTCCCTATTGTCTTCGTCCATTTGTACTGTTGAAATACCTGAGACTGGGTACTTGGTAGAGAGCAGGAATTTATTTGTCACACTCTGGAGTCTGGGAAGTCCACGATCAAGGCGCTGTCAGGTTTTGCGTCCGGTGAAGGCTGATCTCTCGGCCTCAAGACAGCACCGTGTTCCTGTGTGCTCATGTGAAGGAAAACGGAAGGGCAAGGCAGGTGGATGCTGGGTGAAGCCTCTTTATAAATCATTAATCCCATTTGTGGTTACAGAGGTCTCATGACTTAATCATTTTCCAAAGACCCCGCCTTCTAATAGCATCACCTTGGTGATTAAGTTTCAACATATACATTTTGGAAGGGACACAAAAATTCAAATCATACCACTATTTTTTTTTTACTGGATTTGTTTTCATTAGTTTCTCTCCTTGTTTGTGTTAATTCTAGTTTTACTGTCTGTCATATGGGGTCTGAAGATATTCCAAGGGAACTACTTCTTTAACAAGATTATTGGGGTGTAGAGTTGATATTCAATTACATTTTGTTCATTTTGGTGCTATTATGTCAGGAAAGCTCATTCCACCTAGGTAAACCATGATTACAGAAGGTGGAAGGGGAAGTCTGTGAGATTAGTTAGCTAACATTTTGTATTATAATACCTAAATTTCCCAATCCTCAATTTGTGTACAGAAATCCAGATTGCAGCAGAATATCTAAGACATTCAATATATTTAATGGAAATAGGTCCAACTTAAATCAGCCAAAACTGAAGTCATTTTGAGGGTGGGAAGAAAACATATTTCCAAATTTGAAAGGTCAGAGATGTGATGGAAAGGTAGAACTAGTTTGTACTTTTCACCCACCACCTCCTCAGCTTTCTCCCAAACTCACACTCTCATCCAGTCGGAAGGGAGAATTGCAAATGGTAGAAAGTGAGCCTAAGTTTCCTGCTCCAGCTTCTCTGAGAGAAGATGATTCACCTTAAGGTTATGGCAAAGCCCTTAGGAAATGGGAGTCTCCTCTGAGCATGCAGGAATTATCCTCAAAATACCATCAGGAACATTTCCATAACCTGAATTTTTTTCAAGAAGGCCCTAAGCACTATTTTCACCTAAAAATGTAAGTAGAGGCAAAATGAGAAATTGTTAATGTTTTAAATGTCAGTGACTTTCTCTTCTCTGTTCACCACTTCTAGTTTTCAGCCTAATTCATTGAGCAGTATATTCAATATGGACTATATAGATCCCATTGTTTTATTCTTTGTGAGGCATTAAAGATGAATATGGTATGATTCCTGCCTCAAGGATCTCAGAATCCACTGGAAGACAATTTTTATTCATTTGTTTAGCACATATCAATTGGAAGCAGAAATAGAAGGGACATAAACTAATTGCTAAGAGGATGATTCATATGATATATTGATTAATTCTTACAGGGATCATGGACATTCATGTTGAAGGTAGAATTGGGGCCTATTTTTGAAAGACAGGAACATTTTCAATAGGTGGGTTTTGTAGAAGAGAAAAGAGCCACGACAGTCTAAGTAAAGCACACAGCTTTAGAAAAACACAGATGTGGGAGGTGCTAGGATTGTGGTTATCTTGGAAATTAAGAACCATCAGGGTTTGGGACGGTGTGCTGAGGGATAAGACAAAAAAGATGCATTAGGACTAGTTTGTGAAAGATGAAAATTGCATCCAGAGAAATTTGTACTTTATTCTAGGTGTGTTGTAGAGAAACTGAAAGTTTTGTATCAAGGATATATATGAGGAACATTCTTTTAGAAAGAACAAATTTGTGCTTTGTTGAGTTGGAAAGGCTAGAAATTGATGAGGCTGCTCAATCACAAGACGTTGTAATAGTTGAGATAGCCACTGGATGTCTAATCTGATTTTTATTATTATTTTTGAATGGACGAAGGGGTAAACCTCAGAAGTAAACAGAAGCAACATCAATCAGTCTGTTGTTGGAAAAAGCCACACTTTCCTGCTCAGTCACAATAAGAAGAAAAGTGAGAGAGGTAGAGGTCATGGGCCTCATGGATTGAATAGTATTTATGTAGGAGTTTCCCCTCTCCTTAAAAGGTATAGGTGCTTTTTATAGAATGAGACTACTTGAGGAAAATTCCCAAAGAAATAAAGATTAGAGGTACCTGAAAAACAACACTGCCATCTCATTCTGTAGTTGGAAGCATTTCTAAAAAATAAGATAAATAATGTGAATGATAATAAATATGTAGTTAAATGGATAAAATGACTAGAAAAATATAACAGCAAAAGTGACTCAAGAAAAATGAGAATATCAAATAAACCAAACTAGTGTAGAAATTAAATCAGTATTTTAAAATCTTCTCACTAAGAAAACACTACAACCAATTGATTTTCAGCTAAATTCTTCATTTAGGGATACAATAATTCTAAATACATAAAAGTTCTTCTAGAAAACATAAAATGACAAAACACTTTCTACCTCATTTTATAATATATAGGCATATATACATAATGATAAATGTATGTTACAAAATATATATAATACTATATAAAAATATATGTGCATATAGTTGTCCCTTGGTATCCATGGGTATTGGTTCCAGGAACTCCTGCAGACACCAAAATTTTTGGATGCTGAAGGCCCTAATATAAAGTGGCACAGTATTTGCATGTGACACAGGTACATTCTCCCATGTATTTTAATCTATCTCTAGATTATTTGTAATACAGAATACAATGTAAATGCTATATAAATAGTTGTCATATTGTATTTAGGAAATAATGACAAGAAGAAAAAGTCTATACATGTTCGGTACTGACATAATTTTAATTTTTTCAAATATTTTTGATTCCTAGTTGGTTGAATCTGTGCATGTGGAACCCACAGATAGGATGGACAACAGTACATAATATAAACTTTAGCACCCAAACCAGCCAAGGAATAGTATAGAGAAATACAGTTATTTCATTCATGAATGTAGATGTTAAAATCCTATCGTTAATACACATCCAAATGTATGAATCTCATAGCATAAGTAAAAAACTAAGTCAGAAATTTTACAGAGCATGATATCATTTTTGAAGGTTTGAAGACAAAAGCAAACAATATGTTGCTTGGATATGCACACATTCATTCAGGAAAAAATTTAGAATGGCGGATGCCTCTGTGGGGAAGGGAGGGAAATGCAGCCTCAAGGGCACGTGGCAGAGACATGGTGCTCTTGGTGACTCACTGTCTTAGGCTGGATGGGGACTAGTTGAAATTATTTCTCTAGCATCAAATAATTTTAGAGTTGGAAAGGACCTTTGAAATAAGCAAGCCTGGTTTCTTATTTTACTCAGGAAAAATATAGGCTCAGAATTTCTAAAGTCTTTACATATGGTCACACAAAATCATCTGAGTTTCTTGCTAATGTTTTTTTTCCCATCACAAAACACTGATAGAAGCTGAATGAGTCTTCTGTTTGGATTTTTCTTTTATCCATTGAAGCTGTCATTAGGCATGAAATTCTTATGACAAACAATAAATAACAATCCCATTACTTAGCATTTGTATTTTAATATTTGTTTTAATCATTTATTTTTAATGTGGTTCAGAAGTTATTTTAAAATGAAACAGGAATAGTTATTTAAGTGCTCTCTATGTGTTTATCACAGTGATGAGGTTTTTCTTTTTTTTATTTCAGCATAATATGGGGGTACAAATGTTAAGGTTACATACATTGCTCTTGCCTTCCCTCCCCCCTCGAGTCAGAGCTTCAAGCGTGCCCATCCCCCTTACAATGCACATCGCACTTATAATGTATATATACACCTATCCCCTCACCCCCTCCCACCGGCCCAACACCCGATAAATTTTTTCTTTTAACATTTTGGTTAGACTTTATAACTTTGCCTTTACCTGGCAAGGGTTAGAGGTTTGCCCTTCCCCTCCACACTGTTCGGCACATCCCTCAGATGTAGGTCTAGCCCCCACCTCCTGAATCTCTGGTGAACACCACCACCCTTTGAGCACCATGTTGATAATCGGTCAGTACCAAGTTGATGGCGAGTACATGTGGAGCCCATTTTTCTGATCTTGTGTCACCTCACTTTGGATAATGGGCTTAAGCTCAATCCAGGATAATATAAGCAGTGCTAGCTTGATGTTGTTTCTTAGAATTGAGTAATATTCCATTGTAAACATACACCAAATTTTAATAATCCAGTCATGAATTGACGGGCACTTGGGTTGTTTCCACATCTTTGCAATAGTGAATTGTGCTACTGTGATAAGTTCTTTCTGTATATTATCAACTAATTTATTGTATGGTTTTATTAAATTTAGAGTCAAAGTTTATTCTTGGGAGCATTTTCCTAATTGTACTAGAATTAGTTATACTAAAGTGATTTAATTTGAAGAAATACTTAGTAGGGGTTAGGAACATTTCCTAGAAGAATATGATGAAGAGAAGTCATCTAGGTGAGAAATGCAATTGAAGGGGGCAGAGAAACAGGTGGGCCAGAGAACACAGAGAGAGAGCCAGAGAGAGGTGGTCCCAAGGGGAATTTGTACTCTGCAAATAGGAAAACAGTAGATTATTTCTGTCCTAAGTATAATACTAAAACAGTAGGTAAAGCAATGGACCCTGAACATATAGTACAGGCTAAGGGGGGAAGATATTTTCAGAAATCTTTAAGGTTTTTGGTATTGGATGTTCTCCTTAGCTCCCCATTACAACCCCAGTACCTTAGCACTGCCTATGACCCCAGAACTTCAGCATTACTTGGGGTTGTCTCTAGAAGGACTAAAAGTTTCTCAGATCAGTCTACATAGCATCTCTGTGACAGAAATTAAAATGAGTTATAGTTCTTAACTCACTGTGTTTGTGGTTTTTATATCCACAGAGGAGAGATTAGCACATCATATTAAATTGAAGCCATGGAAAACAATGAACATTTGACATGAAAAGTAGAAAGTACCAATGACAGAAGCCTGAGGGACACCAGCATGTAGAAGGAGAACAGAGAAAGCAGAAAGAGCAACCATGAAGCTAAGGAAAAAACTGGAGTTTGGAGTTATAAACACTGAGGAGAGAGGAAAGATTTCAAAAAGTTTGGATGAAATGAAATCAGCAAGTTAGCTGGGAGTTTAATGAAGATAAAAGTTGAGACGTGCGTGCAGGACTTGGTGACAATGAGATCACTGGTTTTTTAGAGTTGTTGGGAATAAACAGATGATATGTAAAGGACTGACTACTAAGTGAGGAAGAGGAGACAGCCATGGTGCACAAGAGTTTCAAGATATTTGGTTTTGAACAGGCAGTCAAGACAGGATGGTAACTGGAAACAGGTGTGGGGAGGAGGAAGGGTTTCCTTTAGAAAGAATGAAAGCAGAGTATGTTAAGTACCGATGGAAGCAGACACAGAGAAAGGACAGAACAATGAACAGAATGAAATCACAGAGAATGTGGAAAGGGACAGTACCAGGAAAGAAGTGAAGAGACTAACTATAAAGAGGAGGAGATCTGTCTATAAATTTGGTGACAGAAAGGGAGTATAAAAGAATCCTTTTTAAAAATAATTTTTATTTATTTTTAGTTCAGAATATTATGGGAGTGCAAATATTTTGGTTACATGGATTGCTTTTGTACTGCTTGAGTCAAAGTTATAAGTATGCCCATCACCCAGATAGTGTGCATTGTACCAGTTATGTATAATTTCACTCATCCTCTCCTCCCACCTCCCTCCTGCATGATTTGCATTGAGTTTTACTTCCATTTGTACACATGAGAGCTGATAGGTTAGTTCCAATTTAATAGTGAGTACATGTGGTGTTTGTTTGCATTTTTTAAGATATTTCACTTAGGAGAATGGTTTCTAGTTCCATCCAGATTGCTGCAAAAGGTATTAATTCATTTTTTATGGCTGAGTTGTACTCCATGGTATACATATATCACATTTTATTAATCCATTCATGAAGGGATGGGCACTTGGATTGATTCCACATCTTTGCAATTGTGAATTGTGCTGCAACAAACATACTAGTGCAGGTATCTTTTTTATAAAATGACTTTTTCTCCTTTGCATAAACACTGAGTAGTGGGATTGCTTGATCAAATGATGTGTCTACTTTTAGTTCTTTGAGGAATCACCATACTATTTTCAATAGAGGTTGCACTAGTTTGCAGTCCCACCAACAGTGTATATACTAAGTGTTCCTTTCTTTCCACATCCAGGAGGTCAAACTATCACTCTTTGCTGATGATATGATCTTATATCTAAAATTCTCCAAAGATGCTGAAAAGAGATTGCTGGAATTGATAAATAAGTTCACAAAGTCTCACACTACAAAATAAATGTACACAAATCAGTAGCATTTCTGTACACCAGTAACAGTCAAGCTGAGGATCAAATCAAAACTCAATCCCTTTCACAATAGCGTTGAAAATAAAATAAGAAATAAAATAAGAAAATAAAATAACTAGGAATATACTTAACCAAGGAGGTGAAAGATCTCTATAAGGAGAACTATAAATCACTGAGGAAGCAAATCACAGATGATGTAAACAAATGGAAAAATACATCATACTCATGGATTAGCAGAATCAACATTGTTAAAACATCCATACTACCCAAAGTGATTTACAGACTCAATGCAATCCCAATCAAAATATCAGCACCACTTTTTGAAGCTCTAGAAAAAATAATTCTGTCCTTCATTTTGAACCAGAAAAGAGCTCTAATAACCAAAATAACTTAAGCAAAATGAATAAACCTGGAGGCATCACTTAACAGACTTAAAGCTATACTACAAGACTATAGTAACCAAAACAGCATGGTACTGACAAAAAAATAGAGACAAAGACCAATGTAACAGAACAGAGAACCCAGATATAAAACCGTACACATATAGCCATCTGATCTTTGACAAAGTAGTCAGCAATATACACTGGGGAGAAGAATCTCTATGCAATATTTGGTGCTGGGAAAATTGGATAGCCACATAGAGAAGACAAAAACAGGATCCATATTTCTCACCAGTCACTAAAATTAATTCAAGATGGATAGCAGACTTAAATCTAAGACATGAAACCATAATAATTCTAGAAGAACATGTGGAAAAAATTCTTCTAGATATCGGCTTAGGCAAGGAATTTATGAAGAAGACCTCAAGGGCAATCACAGCAAGAACAAAAATAAATCAGTGTGACTTGATTAAATTAAAAAGCTTCTGCACAGCCAAGAAAATAATCAACAGAACAAATAGACAACCTACAGAAAGGGAGAAAATGTCCTCATGCTATACATCTGACAAAGGGCTTAAAACCAGAATCTATAAAGAACTCAATCAAATCAGCAAGAAAAAATCAAACAACCCCATTGAAAAGTGGGCAAAAGACATGAACAGAAGCTTCTCAAAAGAAGATAGACTAATGGCCAATAAACATATGAAAAAATGCCCAAGGTCATGAATCATCAGAGAAATGCAAATCAAAACTGCAATGAGATATCACCTAACCCCAGTAAGAATGGCTTTTATCAAAAAGTCCCCAAAGAATCCTTTTTGATAAATTCTTTTTTCTCTGAAGATGAAGGCAATTGCATCTACTGTGAATTGAGAGAGGGAAGGCAGAAGGCCTGAACAGCCGTGGTGCTAACCAATGGGTCTTACCTTTGTCTCAACTATGGAATCACCTAGAGAGCTGTCAATCATCTCATCTGCACCTCAGGCAAAATAAGCATAATCTCTGAGGTTGAGATCCAGAAATCAGTATTTTTAACAACTCGTAGGTGATAATTATGTGCTACCAAGGGTGCAAACACTTCCCTGAACCCTGGATCCCCATTAGAATCATCTGGGAAAATGCCTGGATCCTATCACAAAAGGGTCTGATTTTATTGGTCTTGGATGAGGCTCGGGTATTAGGATTTTTAAAAAGCTTCTCAGGGTTTTAATGTGTAACCAGGATTGAAAAGCTCTGATTGTAAATGGTGGTCAGGCAACACTGAACACCGAAAAGAGTTTGAAATCTCAGGTTTGAAAGAACAGCTGCTTGCACAGATGTGTCATGCATCTGTGGCCCTCAGCAGTCTTTGTCTAGAATTGGAAAAGATGGATAGTTGGATCCGTCTGAGGCCAGGGTTTTGTTAGCCACTACTGTCTCTGAAGGAGAAATGGAGAAAGAGACTTGCAAATGTTGATAAAAAGAAAGGTTTACATGATGAATTATGAAGTTTAATCTGAATAGGAAATGAGATACAGAGATGAGGGTGCCCGTAAGGATGAAGTGAAAAGGTCTTGAGCAGGAGCTTCCTCTGAGGTACACAGAGACAGAGCAAGCAGCCGCATGAAAGAACTGTCGATAATTGTGGAAGATTACCTAAGATTGATTGAATTTTTAAATTTTTTCTGTGCAATACTGACATAAGCTGACACTAATGTCAGTAGTCAAGCACAAGTGACCAGGTGAGGATTAGAGATGATCTTTGCACAAAATAAGATGCTATTTGGGGGTGACATGTCATCATCACAGAGCCTTGCATTTCTGGGTGTGTATTGGAAGTGGTGAATGGTATTTGGCCTTGGCAGTTAGAAATGGCAGTCGAGATAGATGGCTGACTACAATTCTGTTTTAAGAGATTGGCCTTTATGTAAAGTCACAGAAATCTCCATAACTTTAGATCTTTCTGGAGAAGTCTCTGTGTGACCTTATAGAAGACATGTAGCTGGACCAGACATTCCCATTCTCTACCCTGAAATTGATCTTTCTTTTGGGAGTTCCTCACCTTGATGCGCCACCTCCACCATGCCTGGCTCTTGGGGATATATCGCTGTCTTGTTTACATGTCAGTGTAAATGATGGCACTATTTTAAGATTTAACAAAACAGAAAAAAAAAACCCTTCAAGTCATAAATGACAAGAAAATAATTACAGAAAATTTTTAAAAAGTCAAAAATATTGTTTCTCAATCCAAAGTTTTTTGTTCTATAATAAATTAATTCTAAAGTTCAAAGGCTTTATTGGGCTCGTTTCCCTTTCTATTTCATTCAGGGCTTATGTGGTTTATTTGACTTTATTCTCTGACATATGGAGAGGTTTCTAGGTAACTTGCATTCGGTTGAAGAAAGTCTCAAAGCATTTGATATGCCACTGTTGCCTTTGAGTTCTGCCTCTGGTGGAGGAGATGGCAGGATTACAGTGAGAAGTAGTCAATTTGGGGTAGACCCCTCTATTGCCCAGAAACCAGGAAGTATCCTGATGCCTTATAGACCCATTGAATACATTTATTATATAACAATTTTAGCTTGAGTATATTAATTAATAATAGCTATTATTTATTGAGCATGACTATATGTATCAGACACAACTCCAGGTACTTATCATGTATCATATAATTTTTGCAACAGCCCCTTAATTTACAGTTGAGAACAGTGAGGTAAATAGATTACTCATGATCATACAGATACTACCACATTGGATTCTTTTTAATTTGAAAATTAAAATATCTTCTTAATAAAATGGCTAAGTGACCCAGGCTGCTGGCTTCCTCTTCAATCCCAACATAAGAGATACCAGAATGGTAGAAGAAGATAGGGATTCTTAAATTAACAGAAAAACCATAAAGAAACCCTTGAAGAGGCAGCATGTGGCTTCAAATGTGGGGTTAAAAAGCAGTTTAGAATGGAAAAGGTGAGGTGTTATAGATTATGACGGTTAGGGGAGGGCTTTATAGACAGATCTTTCATTCTCTCCCTCAGATTTTTTTGAGAAATTTCCTCTTCCCATCATGACTTCAAAGCAAGCAAAGCATCAACAGGGCAGTGTCAGCCAGAATAGATGAGTTGCAGTAGAGTAGCATTGGAGCCCAAATTCAATTGCTGAACTTTACAATTGCTGAACTAAACAAATGGACTTAATAACAGAATAAATGGGTATACCTTGAGAATAAATTGCAAAATGAAAGTCAAGCAGCTATTATAGAATAAAATAGGAAGAGATGAAAAAAGTATGAAAAAGTTAAGAGATAATTCAGAAGTTGAAATTGAAAGAAAGTTAAAGGGAGGAAATACCAAAACATGAAGAATAGAAGGACAAGGAGGAGGAAAAGGAAAATAATGGAAAAAAGTGTTTGAAGAAATATGGCTATGGATTGACAAAAGTTCTAGATAATATATAATTAGCTTAATAAATTGACAAAAATGTAAAATAAACATAAAAGTGAGTTAATTTAGGAATAACTGGTAGAAAAATAAAATTAGAACATATACTTTCATACTGAATAAAAAATCTTTCCAATATAAGAATTTCCAATATAAGAATGAAAAAGAAATGATATATGACAAATATTAATAAGTCATTAGATCATTACATAATAATATAATTTTAATGTAATAGTATTTGCAATAAAGTAATTAATTTATAAATCAAAAGATACTCTGAGATTAAATTTTAAAAACTATAATCCAGAAAAATACTCTTGAACAGAAAGTTATGAAGAAATTTTTACAAA